AACACCAAACTACGCCCTGCAAAGTTCAATATTGACATTTGATACTGCTAACACTCTCGGAAGGATCCGTATCGATCCGGCGTTAAATTTCAATTTGATGTATCAAATAGAACAGCGGCTCCGTTTCCGCGCAATAGAATACTAAATCCGTAAACAGTGCTTAATATTCTATGAATATAAATTCGAAGCGTCAATAAATATTATTTCGTTGCGTTACATCATAAATTATGAAATACGCATCACAACGAGTAACACACGTCGTTATTACGAACTATGTACATACTATTATTATTAATCGAATGGCACACTCGAACCATCATAAAGCCCCCAGTTGCTTCAACATTAATATCAGGTCTCTCCGACACTATTTACCCCGTTTAAAGGGCTGAAATTAGATCGCGTTTGAATTGCAGCAGCGAAACGAGCGTCACCGTTGGGGAGTGTTGTGCCCCGGGAATGTTAAGGGAATACAGAGAGAAATGGGGAGAGTTAGGAAGAAGGATAGACACCGTGAAATCGTATAAAAATATTTTCCGACTTATTTAAACCGTCTGTTGTTCCGCTTTCATGTTCGCGCGGAAGTGTATATCCTCGGAGGAACGCGAGATCAACTCGCGGAAGCGCTGTAATAACTGACAAAGTCCCGGCACCTTTAGCGTTTACGACCCACGGCTGGGAACTACATCGTACGGCCGGACGATCCAGCGAAAAAATACTCCGAGGAAATTCCAGCAGCCTTCGTTACTCAGCTGGGAGAACGACGCCGCGTATAGAGTCCACTGGATGAACGCGCGAAGGACGATGGGGGAAAACACCGTAGTAACGCGGAGGAACGGAATTATTCATGAACTTTTAAATCTATTTGAAAAAAAGAAACGAAATTTCGTTTGCTTTCTCCTCTTCTCGATATTGTGATGTTACTGAGAAAAGAATATTCGATGGGATTTCGATTGAAGAAATTTAGATTTGGGCTGGTGTAAACGGGCTAAAAATGAACGAATTTTTGGGAATTTCGGGTGAAGAAATTATTAAACCTATCTCTTTGAAAAATTCAGAATACTTTTGTGTACAATTGAAGTAAATACAAAGACTTGTTTTATATGAAAGTTTAAACAATTGCTATATATTAGGCTGAAAAAAGTCGATAGTGTGTCTTTTTAATTTTTGACCAGGAAAAGTGAGTTTCCAGACTATATATGCATAGTACTGAATCCGCCATCTTGAATTTTTGGTATCAAATTCGTTATCAGTGACTTCAAAAACCCTTCATTACCAACAACTTTTAGAAAGTTTTTATATTCTATATTCAATATTCTATTTTGACTTTAGCCAGGATAAACGCGTTTTCAGACCACTCTGCATCTGTCTGCTAACTACAGGGTACCTTCAACAAAATTCTACTTCTATTTATTTAATCATTACATATGGACTCACATAAATCAGTAATAAATCCTATACTCATTATACAGAGTAACAAGTCATTTTCAAAATTCTCAAAAGTCTCACAAAGTAATAACCCTTACCTTCCACCGGCTCGATTCAGCCCTTCGAACACCAAGAGACACACCCAATACTTGATTTCAATCACGTTTCGTTCTTTTTCACCCTGTTACCTTCCATTCCTTGCCATTAAATATAAACGAAAAGCTAGCTTCCACGTACGTGTACAGAGAATATTGAGCGATAGGGGAATGGGGTGGCCGCGAGGTCGGAAGAAGCAGCGCCCCGTTTTTAATCTGGAGAGCTCGCGGGGTTTTTATCTCATTAGACGCCGTTGGAACGCGTTTCCTCCTCTACGCGTTGCCCGAGGCAGCCAGTCCCTGTTTCTTAACAATTTAAAGAAATTCCAGTCCGAATAACTGCGCCCTCCGACCTCTATCCTCCTCCCCTATAACCACCCGCCAGCGAGAGATCGCCTAAAGAGTTACGGTTAATGGAGGGGAAAAATGGCGGCCTGGGGATGGGATAGAGAGTGAACCGAACTGCGTTCGCGCGCGCGCAGCGACTCGAGGAGGCGAAAAAGAAGAACGGATTGAAAGACCGTGGGAGAGTTTCAAAGCAACCCCGATTCCAGTCAAGGGGGTAAATTGAAAATCAGCCGGTAGCGGCGCGCGCGGCTGAATACTTGGTGAATAGTTTCGCGCGAGCGGAACGAGGCTGCGTGAGAAAATTCGATCGAGGCTGCGTTTAGTCAACGGGAACGATGCCTTTGTTCAAGGTATTTTCGACTCCTCGAGGTTGGCTGACTTCTGGATTCCGTGGAAACCCCGTTTTGGGATGTCAGGGAAAACTGGCTGATATTTAAAACGATTCGATGTTAATTCAAGTGGGTATTAAATGAAGAATTTTAGTGGGTGTTCCAGTCTTTCTTTGCTGACGTTGCATGTTGATTTTCGTGTATTATTTATTAAGGACGTCTGTACATTGGTTGCAAATATATTGTTACGAGGATAGCAGGACCATCGTGTAGAAAATGGAAGAGAATCGAGGAGACGGTCGATATTCACAAGATATCAAAAATATGAGATATAAGGTTTAATGTTTGTATGAATGTAAGGTGTAATAGAAACGACTGTTTTCTGGAAGATTTGGTCGAAGACAGACAGCTCCGGAAGTTCTAGCCCTGAACGACCAAATTAACTAATTATTTATTGTATTGATTATTACTAATTCAGTGTTGTTATATTTGTTACATTTAACATAGTTAAACAAAACGAGACAGTTTAGCATTTAATCGAATAAACATTTGTAAGGTATCTATAAAGGGTATGCATGTCTCTATAATTTCCAATATGGCCGCCATCTGCTCCGATACGCAACCAGTCCACCAAAAAACGTACTTAGACGTAAATGTAAAAATACTGAATTGGATCGATGCGATTTTCCCAGAATGAAACAACGTTTATTACTGTTAGGTAATTGAGTAAATAATCAATTGTCTGATCAGTACTACCTTCAATAAGCAGATCCACTTCTCCTGAGACGGATAGTTTATTTGATTTACCTGAATTTATCAAGTGAATAAAGCTTGAAGCAGGCACTACGTTTTCGACGAATCGACCGTCAAACCGCGCAAGAATATGTCCGCGGGCTTTTATCGAGGATTTGTTGCGGCCAGAAGTTCGACAAGTCGGATTGTAAAAAGTTATTCGATTAGCCGTACTTTTGTCTACATTAATTATGACCCGATACTTCGGTGTTCTACTAACGAGTAACAAGTATCGACCGCGATAAAACTCCCGCATTAAATGGATGAGGAAAGTTTCGCTAATACTATCCAAAGGTGAATGAGGGGTTGAGAGGGAGGAGGGGGCTGGGGGAGGATTGATGTACGAACAGATTCATCCAAGAGATTAGTTGCACATCGATGGATTTCATCAGACGATGACACTTGAGCCACAGATGAAAGCATTCGTTTGGTAATTTGAAACGGGAACCATATTCACTGGTCGAATTTAGTGGATACGGATGATACATGCTACATGTAGGAAACATAAAAACGAATAGATCTCCAAGATAGTGTGAAGAAAGTATGAAATGAATAGTTTGTTTGCCAGATAATATCTACTATCTCCAATTAACATTTACACTGGTGTCTGATTAATAGAAGTTTATGCAAATTCACAGCTTTAAATATTAAGATAAAATAATAAAAATTGGAGAGAATTTTGGTAAAACATAAATAGTATCAAATTTACTATTCAGAATACTATTATTAATTACTTTATCCTATCAGTCATTTCACTTTTTTAACCACTTTGTAAGACATTTACGTAGGTACTTTCTTTATTACAAAAAACATTTAACATATGGTTAGCATTATTAAAAGTAAATTGCTCCTTTCTCAAAACAAGATTTTTGCAGATACGTTGATTAGCCTTAACAGGACAGTATAAGCTGTACTGCTATAGTGGGTGTTCCATCTAACATGACCACCTTAAATGTCTCACTTACTTTTGATTTGCAGAAAATTTATATTAACAACTGCTCAAACTGATGTCCATCAACTTCGATACATTTTTGCACTAATTCCTCTATCGTAGTTATTTTATTATTTAAACCTATTCTCTCACATTTGTGGATTTGTTATACTCAAGCTCACATAAAGGTTATTCTATTTAGGTCATTGATTTGTACTTGACTCAATTATTAAACCACGACGATCAAAATATGTAGTGCCATTGAATAAAAACATCAACGACTTTGAAATTTCGAACAATATGACCTTCAAACAAATTTTTCCTCCTAGCATTTACTCCCTCAAACCAAATAATACTTTCCCTTCACATTTGTTTGTTTCTTCAAAAACAAGTGAGATATTCCAGGTGCTCGCGTTATGTGGGACACCCTGCATTATTCAGTTCTTTCTTAAAAAAAGAAAAATTCGTTCTGAAAAGGTTAAACTACAATCTGTCTCCGATTCCTCTCGATTCGAGTGACGTATCGAGTCACAGTAACCGCGAGCTAATTCGTATTTCGAAGTGCAATCCCGTTTCCCCGCGTTTCCATCGCAGTCCCGGGGTTCCGTTTCGCGGTGTAAACTTTCCATCGATAAGAACTATCCCTCAAGGGGATAAAGAATATTCGACGAGCTTATCGGTGGCCGGCGATACCCATCAACGTAGCGAAACCGAGCCGTGAAGCTCATTAAAAGCTCGTTAGAAGGGCGACCGCGACCGAGGAAAGTGCAACGGGACCAACTTCTTGAGACGCAGTTTCGAGAAAATCATGTTAAACGCCGGAAGCCGTGTTCACGCAAAGCAGCACGTAAACCAACCTAATTATTCGCGCGAGATTACGCTCGTAAAAAAGTAATTTGCGATTAAATTAACCGCGACCACTATCGAGGTCTGGGTTAGGTGGTCGCGGTTAGAAAAATACGCTCGGACCACGGAAGAATCCGGTGGAGTTCGTTTTCTTTTCATTTCTTTTTTTTTTTTTCGTACCCAACTTTAATCACATATGCACGAATTGATCAATCTCATGGGATTAATGCTCACCTGCGTTTTCACGTCGCCGCCGACTGTGACCTTCGACTGGAAATTACTTTGCTCCGTGAGAATCTTCGCGTTATTTATGTAAACTTCCTCGCCGTGCGTGCTCGGCCTCCGAGTGACCCATAATGGAGGATTACCCTCGAGCTCTGATGAGATTGAGTCCCCCAGGTTCTCGATCGTCTTTGGAAAGTTCGCTGCAACACAAACGAAGGGGGGAAACGTTTTATGGTCTTCCTTAGTTTTCATTTTATGGCAGAGGTGGTATAATGGTACAGATTAATGTTCAATTTTGTAATATTAGGCATAATTAATCTGCAGCTTAGGTCCTTGGATTTTTCTTAAATATAGAATGGATTATAATAATAATGTATAAATGTTTAGTTGACAGAAACAGGTTAAATCCCGGAGGGGATTTTAACCTATTTTAGACAATTAAACATTTCGAACTTGTTCAAAAATAAAGATTTATATTCACGAAATTATGTCAGTATTGCAATTATTATTACACTGCACAAGTTTATGTAAATACATACACAATTTTGAATACTGATGTATAAAGATTAAATTGGACCGGACTTTAAATGTTGCACTAGAAACTTTACTACGGTAATAATAAAACATGTTGTTTGATACGTTCTGTAATTTAGGACATGCTATAAATGCATAAAAATTCGCAATCTAGTAATTATATTAACATTTAAGTTCGGATTTTCGGAATAGACAGTTATGAATTCAGATAAAGAGATAAAAGTGTCATGCAAGAGTTTTTTAGAATTTTATTCTACAATCAATATGAAAATGATAAATAAAATTCGACCGTGACGATTAAAATCTGTAATCAAAACGGAATACCATATCCAACCACGCAAGAAACATCGCAACAATTAAACCGCAACAACAACGTTGCGCACCGATTCTTGGTACAGATTGGAAAAATATCGAAACCTGAAAAATGGTTCCCGCGTGGATTGTTCCCATCGTACAATCATTTGTGCGCTATCCCAAGATAGGCAAAACAGTGACCCGTTCCCCGATCGAATTGTTATCTGTAATGAAAAATGAGTCCTACACCAACAATTCCTATCGCGTTCGACTGGTAGAAAATTCGAAAACGAAAAACTTATGCTACGTTTGAAATCGAACGTTCAGCCAACACTTGATATATTTGATTGTTAACAAAGTTCTGCTAATTTTTTACCTTACAATATTTATTAAAATAACACCGTCACGATGTGTCTCAATTTGAGTTTTAATTTTACCAAAAAACACTATCGCCGCTCTTATGAATTTAATAGATATTATTTAATTAAAATTTGATATGGACTGTTCACATTTATATCTACACATATATACACACATGCTTAGTTTTAAACAGCTGCCATGTAAAAGGGATATATTTTCATAGTATTCAGTATTTCAGAACATGAGACACGAAGTTCCATAAGATGACAAGTCTATCCTATACCTAATCAGTGACAGAACGGTCAATTTCTGAGAAACAAAAGAACATCGACGTGAAATATAAATTCAGTACATCCTATCATTTAATAAGTCACCGTCCTAATAATTGACGATGAATCCAAATATATCTTCGTGAAACCACTTCTCCTCCATGACATAAAAATCAAAATTCCAAAGCCCTCTCGTTTTTTAAACCCAGCTACAATCCGCCGTAGCATTTTATTCCCCGCCGTCCCCCACGAGAGTCACTTGCATACAGCCACGGAGGGACAAACGTAACCGGAAGAAAAGCGTGGCTCGAACAAAAGGAGGGAAAGAAGTGGAGGTCAAAGAGCCTGGTCGCGGCAAAGGTACAAAGGTGGTCGGTTTATTATCTCGTTACCAGCTTGGAATGTCCTCGTAATCCCGTGGTTTTTCCAGCCTCCGAAGCCTCCGGAAGATATCGTTCTGCATCCTCGACGGAGGAACGCTCGATCTCGTACGACGACCAACGAGGCCACAACAATAGGGATCATTACGAACGCTACGAATTGGGTTCTGTTTCGTAAACTGGCTGGCCGGTCGTCGGTGCCATTTTCTGCCTTGAAAAGACACACCACCGACAAGAGACTTTCTCTCGTTTGCCCCGTATAGCGGAGAGGAGACCGTCTTTTCGCCCCCGTGGAAATCGTTTTCTTTAACCGTCCACCGCAGGGGTGATTCGCCCACGGAGTCGACAACAGTTTCGACAAGTTTCTGGACCACGACACGGCTACCACGGTCCGTGTTTCTTTCCCCGTTCGATGGCCGCCCCGGCGCACCGTTTTATCGTCGCATCAGCGAAAAACGTTCTTTTCCATCGAGAGTCCGCTATCCTTTTCCCACCCGAACAGTACGGTCGGGTTTTGCGTTCAAACGCGCCTCGGAGACTTCTTTCGTCCGGGGGATCAACGTCTTTTACGGCTGCGTGGTCCCCGGGACTTATCTGAAAATGATCCTGCCAGGACGGCGAGATCGATCTTCTGGGGATCGTATATGCAAATACAGCCTGTGATTGACGAGCGATCTCGCGGGTAGATAGTTAGAGTGGCGAGTGAGTTACTTTTAAATAACTACAGAGCCTTTGAAAATAGTTCGTTTCGTTTTTTTTTCTCTGAATTAACGAATGGACTTGTCGATGGATTCATTTGCTTGATGATATAACATTCTGATTGAAGCTGAGAATTGATATTGGAAATTAGGTGTTGCGTTAAATTGATCTGGTAAAGAGAATAAGAGAAATAAGATTTATGGTACTTTTAGACTTCTTTTAGCAGACTCATAAGTTACTGGGATGAATATCTATATTTTATTTTATTATTATAACCTATAAATTATATATCATTATGTTCTCAGATGGCTGAGACATTTGAAATAGTGGTGGATACGTTATTGACTAAACGTAAAAATACATTGATGCAAGAATTCTATGGTTTAACCCAATATATGTATCTTCTAGATTTTATATCGAATTATTTATATACTTAAAATATATTCTCAGCCTTAATAAAATCTTCAAAAGAATATACATTTCGAATTAACGTAAAGTATGTAAGCAACAGTATTTCGAGTAAATCTAACGGTGTCTCCAAAGTGTCCATTAAATTCCCGTTCAGTCGCGGTTATTGATAAAAATGCGAATATTATTCATCGAAAACGACGAGCGCCTCGAACGACCCGTGGAAAAAAAAAAGAAACTGGACAAATACGTTCCATTCGACGATCAATAGCTCCCTTGATCTCTGCATCGTTTTGTCCCAGACGTCGCTTTCAACGAAGGCGGATGATTAAGTTCTCGATCGAACCCCATTTATTTTCGCCGGGGGAGCCCCTTGGGGCACAGGTGTGATGGTCGACCACAAAACGAGAACATTCGTACAAAGCTGCTCGCGCAATCGATTTATATTCCCCGGGTCGAAAACTCCTATACCAACACCGCTTTGCTTTTCGTTCCTCATCAAAAATGGACTCCAGGAAGCACTGGCTAACAAAAAAAAAAATACGCGTCACCGGATTATCACTGGCACGGAAAGAGATCAACGTTTTGCATACATTAGAAGAGAAAAAAAGAAAGTAATTTATGAATCACACGAAGGATCAAGTCGTCGGTGGAATGTGGATACAGAATACAGCTTCAATTGATCTTTAACAAATACCTTTTGCTTCGCTGTAAGTCCGTCTGAGAAACTGCGCACCTTCAGGGTAGTTCTACTGCGAGACAATTATCGGAGAATGAAAACAGTTTCAATGGTATATTCCTTTCTAGCATTAGAAGCGTTGAAGTTTCGAAGGATAAACAAGTTCGAAAGCAGCAGACATCGATAACTCGGCATGATAAGGCTTAACGAGCTTTCGCAGAGTGACAAGGTTTCAATTAACGTATTTATGAAGCACTGAAGCTGAATTGCGGATTATTTAAGAATAGAAAGTCCTTTAAAACAAAAAAACAACATGGAAAATGAATACTTGATTCTTAAAGTATCCAATGAAGCGCACCCAAACGTGGGCGATCATGCAAGGGTTGAGTACATCATTTCGCTACCCTAGCTCGAAATCGATTCGAACTATTTCAAACTGACCTACAAAGTTCTGGCGCTGACTTCACCGACGAAAGAAGACGGTTCATCTTATCGGAAGAATGTCGAAAATTTCGTTTCTCATTGGAATTCACGGGAAAGAAAACGGAAACCAAGAGAGTTTCAGGGGAGGACCTGACAGAAATGCGAAAGCATGGGCACCGCATAGGAGTTCGGAATAATCTCAGTTCCGGGGTCGCTCGTTGCACGGTCGTTTGCACGCTCGCACCACTATCCAACGGGTGTATACCGGTGCATTGCGAGGCACGAAGCGTGGCATCTTGTTTGGACACTTCTTTAAATCAATTACGAGTTCCGGGCAGGCAAGTTCCACGGGCAAGCAGCAGCACGAGGGTTCATCCCCTTTCTTCCCCCACCACCGACCGGTTCGACGAAAGTTCGACGGGCAACCCCCGTCCCCTCCGACCTCGAGGAAACGCGGCATCAAACTCTCCGTTTCCGGATTGTTTGCCCGGCCTCGAGGAATTCAATCGGCGCATTTGCGATTCAGATGATCGTGGCAGCTTACGCTCGCGAAATCCGAATGACACGACCCGCTCGGTCGGGCTCCTGATTCGGAAAATTTGGGTCGTCGCCCAACGGATTGGTCCTTTATATTGCGGATCCGAACGCGGAATCCGTGGCTCTTTTATACGGCTACTTGGTGAAATTCAATCCGACGAGAACAATCTCCTGAAAGTAACACTGATTGAATCTTCATGATTATGCATTCCGTGTAGTGTAAAATTTTATGTTTTATGGATGATTTATTATTATCATTATTAACTCGAATACACGTTGTTCTTTTGTGCAGTGAAGTATGCTACAACGAATGATATAGTAAAGAACGAATGCTACAGCGAACAGATTTTATTATTACAATCAGAATGCTGTAACGAACAAATATGTTATAACTGATTGTTCCAATCTGCCTTAGTTACCATGGTAAAGAAATAACTGACGTTACGAATCTGTTAAAAACAGTGTGGTGAATAGTTTTGGAGAGTCTGCTGCCATATTTTGCTATAGTTTGTAAAATTACATACAATATGTCAATGTAAACACTACAACGAACAGATCCTGTAACGAACGAGGTTTTAGAATCAATTAGTTCGTTGTAGCATACCCCACTGTATTAAAATTCTTTGATCCCGAATTTTCACTTGTGACCCGACCACGGATGTTTAGGGAAATTTGAATTTCCATATTTGGAGAAACCTGATTGAGTTGATGAAAAATTCTATCACCTAATAGGAAGTTTATTCAATTGAAAATAATATAAAAACTTACTAATTCGTACGAAAGTTTTTGTTTCACTGTGCCTTAAATCTTCATGTTGGCTATAAATTCATATCAGCGGTCCAGAAAATACATTATACTCATCAAATATCTGAAAGTATCATTATTCATTCTGTTTAAAATATTAATACATTTTTTTATATTAATAATGTACGAACTTTCTAATAGTTTAAAAAGTTTTTCTTACTAAAATAAGTACTACATTTCAAAATTTATATCGATACAACTTAAAGGAGTAGTTCCTTAACGTTGATGATTTATTTATTCCTTGGCAATTACTTTCGTTGACAACTACCGCTACCTAGGAGCGCCTTAGGAACTAATGACGCGTTGTAAGTTGTAATAGAACGCCGGCAAGAGTTGTGTTCGTTTTCGTTTCTTATTTACTGTTGTAATTGTCAAGTGATTTCGTTAAATTTGTTCAGTCCTTTATTGTTTGATCAAGGCCTACGACTTTTGGCCCTTTTCTCGGAAGAATGGACAACGTTTCGGTGTCGAAGGTACTGTACAACCTGTTGCTTACACTTACATAACCTGCAAATGCGAAGGCGGCATTTGGAACACTTTCAAGCGACTGCAGTTATCATACAAAATTGTTTTCCAACAACATTTTAATGAATTGTTTCTCTATTTACGTTTTTCTGTTATTATAAATCTCTCTTCGTTATTACAATAGCATTTGCTTATAAAATTTTCGATCTATTTACGTTCGATCTATTTTAATAATTTAGGAAAATAGAGAAAATTTATTTCATGATACTCCATTATTAGTTTACATTAATGTTCTCAATCTTAATAACTATCGATGGACTTTGATGTGTGTCATTTTATAGTTGTAAAAGATAGCTTTCTGTTTTGAAATACTGGTAGCTTTTTTTATTATAAAAGTATAGCTTATAGGTATATTTTAGGGTGTCTTTGTACACAAAGGCAAATACAAGATTGGCGATAAGAGCACAAAGTTTCAGTCACCAGATTATTTTTCTGTACCATGGTATCTTGCTTATAAAGAGATATGGGAAAGCATTCAGGAAGCTACTGAGGTATTATGTTATAAATAATGTATACACAAACCTATTCAATATCATGTTTTGTTGCGTTAGTAAGTTATATTGACATTTTAGGACATCAGATTTTCTATGTTTCAACAAATTCTGACCGATTTAGAATCATTTGTTACCAATGTTAAGACAAAGCCATTAGAAAGTCTAGAAAATGAGATTTCAACAGCCATTGTATTAACAGGTGATTATACTGTCTAATAGGATATAGTCCTGTTTAATCTGTAATTTAAAAATAGTTTCATTATAGGAGTTAATGTTCCTGATCATGCAATAATGTTTAATAGAATAATCTCAAAATTAGAACCAATAACAGCACACACAGCAGTTATATGGAGCAGAGATTCAAATAGTTTAAAAAACATTTTGGAAGAAACAATCTATCAATTGATAAATCATGACACGGTTAGTTCTTTTAGAGATAAATGTTCTTAGATTATAAAAAAATATAAATGATACTTATCATACAATAATTTGTAGAATGAAGACACTCAGGCAAAAAAAAGTCAGTGCACCATGCGTGCTTTGAAAGATTGGTATGAGGAACACTGCGAACCAAATATTCCTCTTGTTATAATTATAACTGACTTTGAAAGCTCTTCTCCAGCAGTATTACATGATTTTATTTCAATACTTAGGTATTTCAGCAATGACATTTTGTGTATCATAATATTACAATCTTATTAATCTCTAAACTTTTCAGTTCTTATGCAAATACAATGAAGTTCATTCTCATATTTGGCGTTGCTACCACTTTGCATGCTATTCATAGATCTCTATCATATGATGTTACTTCAAAATTAAATGTGCAAGTAATAGCACTTATCATTCTGATAATTAATAAAGTTATTACTCCTTGTGGATTCATTGTGAACTTATAACTATATCTTATGTAGGTTTTTCACACGCAAACACAGATGAATATATTATCCGAAGTAATAGAAAATATTGTATTCTGTACAAACATACCATTTAAACTAACTGGACGAGCGTTTCAGCTATTAACAGATATATTTCTGTTTTATGATTTCTCAGTGGAGCATTTTTTGCAAAATTACAGGGTATTAACTTTAGTCACTATCTGTTATTAACTACGAATTCCTAGGAATCGAAGTATTTTTTAAATTAATGTCTCTATGAACTTGATGTTAAACTTGTAGATATGTATGATCCAACATTTTTATGGAAACAATATAAATTCTCTCTGTTGTCAATCACAAGAGATTGAGAACAGAATATCTTCGTTAACTGTTGAAGACATTGACGAGATTAAGAAGTTACCATCAATAGAAAAGTATCTTCAAAAACTTCAAAAAGAGAGAAACAAGAATGAAGAGTCAGTTAATAGGAACTTCAAGGTATCATAATCACCAACTAACACGATTGTTAATACATACAGTGCTCTCAGAAGAAAAATTTATTACAGGATATATTGAAACATTTATTAAACAAATTTCGCCGATATATGCATCGATTTTTAATAGTATTGAGGTGTCTACATGTCTTCATGGCACCACTGCCAAACTCTCCCATGGGTAAACAGGTACTACTAAAGATAAATACGAAAGAAGAAGTCCTTATAAGGATAAGCATCCATAAAGAAAGCCAAATTAAATTTTAGTTACGGGAATTCTACACAAGAGCAGTGTACGTGAACGATCTAAAGGAATCACAGGAGTACAAAGAGTGCTTGCAGTTGTTGAGTTTTCTATCGAAGACAGAACTTGTCTCGAAATTAAATTCTCTTATTGACATCATGAAAGAAGCCAAAGATTCAGTTCTGAAGAAAATAAGAACGGATCTTCAGGCTCATATAGGAAAAATCGAGGAAGCTAGCTTAGAGACATCCGCACAATCTACCGACGTTCTTTCCGCTGGCGAGAAACTGAGTAGACTTCAATTGAAAGAGGTCTGATATGAAACTGTGAAGATAACCTTGGATTGTTCCCGTCGAGAATAAGCGTTATAGTATCTGACTTCTGATTTCGCCATAGAAACTGCTAAAGATGTCCCAAGCGCACTCTCGGTCGCCTTACAAACAGGCCCTATTGGACGTGATTAATTACCTGGATGAGCAGGTGTTCTGTGCATGCTTGGTCAATCCGCATCATATACCAGCGAATGAGATATTTTGCTTCAACGAAGGGACTTTGGCGAAACAACATATTCGGGGATCTTTGAGGGCCGCGATACACACTGGACTTAACGATCCCCAGGTGTACATGAACGTAAGCGAAGAATGAAAAAGTTTGTTAATATCGATCAAGGCTATACATATTAAGTTGTTGGAAAATTTATAGTTCTAAGTACGAATGGATCTTCATAGACATTCCCTCTAACGTCACATTTAACCCTGCTTCATTATTCCTCTGTTCGCTAGATCCACTTTCTAAAATATGGGCTACATCTATCCAATACTTGAAATCCCTCTTTCTGAATGAATTCAGAAAACTATTCCCGACAAATCTATAAAACATGCATATTCCAATATTTAAAAATGGCGGACTCGTCAGCCCCGCGTCCGTAACAAGTTTCAAAAGTCTTCGATTAATTAGCTCGTAAGCGTCTCCAGAGACTGGTACAGAAAGTTTCGCGGGGGAATTTTCAGCGGTCGAGGTGTGAAATTTGTAAATTATATAATTTCATTCACCTCGGAACCGTTCGTCCAATCAATCTAACCCAGCTCCGCGAAGAATACCTAATTTTCACCAACCACCAGCCGTTTCACATCTAACTCTTGCTCTACCATCGATCCCATCCGTGAACGGGTCGCGATGGATATCGATTATGGAGACCCACCGTTGCTTAATGGAAAACGATCGGTCCCCACGTCCAACTTAATTGGAAATACATATTTCAGTGCGAGTGCTGCAAATTGGAGAACGACGACGCCATTCCGCCTACTCTGCCAGACCTCAGTATAATTTACAAACTGCACTTGGAATCCAGGAAGCTGATCAATATGTACGACTGGCTACAGGTAACAATCCGTTCGTGACCGTGTTTACAGGTTAATTCGGGTTACACTTACGGTCACGCACCCCGGGGGCCCCCCCTCTCTCGTGATTTTAATCGGCACGACGAGTGATTAACGCGAGCACGACATTGTAAATGGATGCCCGTTGGGGGGCACGGGCTGTTTTATCGTCTGCGGTTGTTAGCAGCCTGAAAATGCACCGGGTAAGTGCAACGAATCGCTGTTGGCCGAGGAAAATTCAGAGGGCTCTGGTTCGTGGCAACTTTAAAAATGTGAGCTTTCAAGTTTACCTCGCGTGTACCGGGGATGCACAGGAACGGCAGAGCGCAGGATTGCGACCTAAATAGCAAATGCAATTCGAAGAAAATCAGACACGAGCTGTAAATGGTTTTTTTTTCTTGTTTGGATGGTACACACTGAATATTTGAACAAATTTCTTCGTGAATTGACTTCCTTGTTATTTAAATTAATATAAAGAATTACTAACTATAATTAGTTACCGGAAATCGTTCAGTTAAATGAAGTTTTTGAAAACGCGAGTGAAAACGACCCAGTCACATTGTTGTTTGAGGATTGAAAAAGAAAACTAGGTATTCGTGAATGTTCAACGGGTTGCGAACAATTTAGGGTGGTTCTCGCCCGGCCAAATGACCCCGTTTGGTAATGGAGCGGGGCAAAGATTTGTCTAACCACTGGCCGTTTGAAATTCATATCATAGCTCGTAATGGTGAAATCGTAGCCCCCGGCAGAGATAACTCGCTCGAGCTGCATACCTCTTGTTTGAATAATTCACACGTGTTCCCGCGTGAATTTTATCGCGCGCCAAGGTATCCTTAACCGAGATTTAGAGCCCGTTTTACTCAAGCGGTCGCCGAGCTCGAGTTCCTCGGTTTCATCAAGAGTTCACGGAAGAAAACTGATCACGTGAAGCGGCTCACGTGAAAATCATTGGCTGTTTCGGAATCTCCTACTCTTCGAGCCTGCTCACGCGCTTCAAGACTTATCTTCACTGAATTTATATATTTTTACTAAATATTGTTTTGTAATAAAGCTATTATATATTATACATGATTGTATTTTGTTGTTCCTCTCCTTATTTACCTTTTTTTTTTACTTCGAGATAATTAACGTTTTGCATTTTTCCGCACTTTTACCAACATCGTATTATCGCCAGTGTAAACTTTAAATAGAAAATGAAGATAATAATATAGCTGTTGCAGCATACTCACGATAAGCTTGTGATTTGCCACTGCTCGATGGTAAATTAATATCGCGGAGTTTGTTGGAAGATAGTGTGATTGTGTATGGTGTGACTTGAACAATTTAACACCACTTGGTAACAAATTTAAACTTTAACAAACGTAACACTGTGATGTATGTGTATGTGTGCACTAGTTGTGTATGCTCTGACCGATAGATGTGTTCTGGCTGGTGGTTGAACGCGTACTGTCTGGTGGTTGTATGCGTAGTTAAAAATATTTGTGTAATGGTGGAAAATGAAGAATTTTGATTGGTATATGAAGTGGAAGAAGTGGGACTTGGTGTATGTATTATTTTGAGGGGTTTCTGAAAGTCAGCGTTGAAATACAAAAAAAAATGTTCTTAAGACAGCACGTAATGTGCAGCTATCCAGGAATCCCCGTTTATGATGCTTTGCCGACCGTATTGATAGCCCAAAGATCGTTGCGACCATCGCCTATCTGCGTTAGGTCGCAAAAATAACAAAATCTCAATATTATTATGACCAGTTTGATTACACTGTGTCCAAAAAACCCCAATTAACCTCTAAATGAAATATTTATATTTTCTTCAGAGTATACTAAAATACTCACAAAGTATACATAAATCATAAACTTCTTATTGCTATAAATAAGTATCGAAAAAGGATACCAAGGTACAGTACCAAAGAAAATTAAGTTGCAAACGATACCGAATTGAATTGGAACAAAAAGAACGAAGAATATATACGATCTAATTTTCGCAGCGTTATTGCAAGAGGAGGGTCATACGCGTGTGCAAAACGCGATGAAATATTGCACGCAATAATCCGACAGTATTTAGTGCCGTTGCGATCACGTGCGTTCTCGACTAACAACCACCAGCTGCATCGATATAATGTACATTATGCGGCCAATTCGAGCTGATAATTTTATTACGGCCACAATTGTTTCCCGATAACAGACTGTCTCTAACGGTAACGCGAACCACCTTTAACCGACCCCCGCCACTCGTCGATTTTATGCATCCGAATTCTACACCTTGGCTCATGGCTGATCGGAACTTTCCTAATAGAGTTTGCGTTATCGTTATCCAACGCTGGGTGACACGGAAACCAAGAACCGCCGGAATCTGTGCTGGCGCGGGCGCTGGTACTTGCAATTATTCCAGCCAACCTGTGGCTTACGCGAAACTATATTATTTAAACGCTTAAATATCTCCTTAATTAAGGGACATTAATTGGCACACCGGTGCTCATTTAAATCTGCTACGGGAATTGTTATTCGACGAAATATGATACCCTGTTCCGCGTGACCTAGGGCTCGAAATTCCAGAGGAAATTCGAAGGATACTTGATTCACCCAATATGTACTGTGTATTACTTGTCTACAGTCACGTGGCTTGGCTCAGTAACTCGATTACAGAAAGTAATGGACGTTATTCTTGGAGTGTTTCACTTTAGCAACACGTAACAAGGCCTGTCTGCTTTCAACTGGAACCCTTTTTATCGTGGGAATGGAGATGTTGTAAAAACTCTACAGAGGGAACATTGTATGGTAGAAATCGTAGATTTTTATTTTAATGATCGTAAACTTTGTCTCTGTTCGATAAAGAACATTTTACGTTACCTATCAATTAATACAGACTCCTCTTGATTACCGTCTCGAACTATAGAAATGCTTCAGATCCTCGTAAATTCGTTTTTTACAACAAAGTATGCACTTGACCGGTATTATCAACGGTTTCGAAGATATTCAAAGGGGACGATTTAAATGACTCACCCTACACATATACATATTGTTGACATAATATTAAGTAAAAAGTTTACTGCATCGTGAAATTTGTGTATGAATGTAAAATACAAATACGATGACTAACTAAATTTTCCAGCGTCAGTGTAGGAGCTAAACAAGGGATAAAACGTCAACAATATAGACATGGAAACTTGTCTTTGAACTACTTTCACACTTCACTGTACTCTAATCGGTTTTCTTACAATCTGTTTTGAATACAGAATGATGAATATCTTCAGAATAATTGTACATTTTGATTAATACATGTCTCGATTCTACGCTTCCACGCGATTTCCATCCCCTCATACAAAACTTACAATTCAGTCATCGGTCTATACGGGAAATTTCTGGTTCAAGCAAACCAGAATTCTACGAAGGACAATATTGTACGATGCAGAGACACAGACCCGTGGGTATGTAAATTTGTGAAACAACCAAAATTTAATTCGCTTTTCGTGCGATCTATCATCCGCGTTCGCGTGCACGGAGAGACCGTTAAACCGTGTCGGGGCTTTTGGCATATTCCTTACTGATCCAAGCGCGGCCTTTGAGCCGCATACGGGCTCGAAATCGTGTTCCGTGGTACAGGTATGATCGATACCGAAGACTTCTGTAACAGCGGGACATACATATCGCCGTAGCGTGCGAGAGCACGTATTGTTTCAATTCCAGCGCTATGCTGCTGCTGGCCGGGATGAATTTCCGGATGTCTGACTCCGTTTTAATCCGAGATTAAATTGTTCTTGGTACTTCCATTGGTATGAACTTTACTGCCACTATTATTAATTTATAGTTTCTCTTGTTTTATACTTTTCGTCGATGACTACTTGTGGATTATTTATTTTTTTGCATTATCACCTTCTTGTGACCAGTCAGTATCAGTAATAACACGATAACCAGAGAAAATTATACTGTTAGTTTTCCTTGAACTTAAAGGGAATACAAAAATTATTCACGATATTTGGTATGAACTTGGCTGCTATTGTTATTTATTAATTCATTGTTCCTACTATACTGCATTTTTCGTCGATGATTATTTGCGGATTATTTAATTTTTCTTGCACTATCACTTGTCAGGATCAATAATAACACGATAACTAAACAGACAAATCTATGATTTTACTTTTCCTTGAAATTAAAGGGTATACACACACATGTAATTGTAGTAATGTTTTTTAAAATACATAATCGAGACAGTGAGGAAAACGAGGAGAGAATAAAGCGGATTTACAACACTTTCACTTTGCTGGATCTGTCCCTGTCATATCAAAACGGAACAAATCCACCATTTGGATTCAATTCTTCCTTCCTTTATTCGTTTATCCATCGCTACGTTAAAATGCACGAACAATTGCGATTGATTCCCGAAGTGTTTTTTTTTTTTTCATTTTTTCTCCATTCAGAAATAATGGTTTTGCCCATTGTTTAGTGTACAAACATGATTAATATTGATGATTTTTAAATAAATAGAGGGTAATAACTGAAATTGGGAAACGCCTTAGAAATTTGTATAGCGGTTGAAAGTATGCAAATGCACACCAGACTTTATGAATATCCGGTTAAAAAGTTCAATTATTCCGTAAACAAAACAGTTTTCAATTCAGTGGAACATTTGTTACACAATTAATACAGTCGAAGTACAACTCAGAAATTTGTTCAGTCTGCCACATTTATTGGATTACATCATGAGTGATAACTGATACCAATAAAGGATGATAAAACTAAAGACAACAAGGATAAATAAATAAAAATTGCGTACAATTGTTTACGGTCAATTGTTCTTTCGAAAATACATGACAAAATCTGTAAGTGGCTGTATATTTTATTTCGTGAGTTAAAGTTGAAATTTTGCTTCAAAGCATAAATCCATCAGCGGGATTCAGTTTGGAATTATTCAATATCGATCGTTTAAAGTACCCCTTTTTATTTCATTGATAAGCTTGAACGGTGATTATTAGAATTTGACACGGTTTCACGTTGCTCGATTTAAATTCAATTTCCGTGGAGGGACTGTGTTTTTGTCGAGCGCAATTTAAAATTAACGACGCGTACACGGAGCATAGGTTGGTTTCGCGGGCGAATGAATCGCATCGGTGGCTACCGACATCCGGAAGTGCGTGCAATTACCAATTATAATTGCGCGACGACTAATTGGTAAACAGTAGTAATAACAAGCGACGTCCATCAATCACCAGCTCGCGAACAGCTCGCGTCGATTCTAATAATTGTCGGTTGAACGAATCACAGTCGAGCTCGCATTCGTTTGCCATGTGAATCGATTAAACGGATGGAAATAGTATTTCTCATACGGTCTTACTATTGGAGTTCGGTGCAAAAGTTCTGACGGTTTTGCTCTAAAAAATCAGACTAATGATACATTTAATTATAATTTAATAATAATTTTAATGAAGTACATAATGATTCATCATCATTCACATGAAATTTTTAGACTTGTATTATTCAGTGAATATGTATAAGTAAATTATATTAATAAATTTATAGTTTACCACAGGGTGGGATTGACAAAACAGCTTCTCCAAAATAGATTACAAATGTTTTTTGTGGTGTTTGTAATGTTTGTCCCGTACATAATTTTATTTTTTTTTAAACTTTTGTTCTGAATAACAATTCACTATGTTACGCTGACATCGACACGTAATGAATTAACACAATTGTTTATTGTTTCCAAAAAACCATGGCGATCACATCATCTGCAGAAAATTCGTTAAAACTTTTGCACTGACCGAATATTTCTATGATTTTCAACCGATTTAATAACATTTAGGTATTAAATTTTAATTATCAACCACCTTTTTTAAAATAAGA